CCTTTGTTCCATAGACAAGACCCCCTCCAGCTAAAGGATGAAAACATGCAACATTGACCTCATCATCTGCACTAGGAAGAACTCTAACAAGTTCCATATCTGAAACTCTATAAATCTGGAAATCAAATATACCAAAACATACTGTCAGACAGGCTAATACGTTTCGATTGATTATGTACATTTGTGAAGAATAACACATAGCTTTCTTAGAATGGAGATTCAACTAAGTAACCAATTATATATGTTCAGGACATTGGTCATGAAGATAAATAGTTGAAAGGACTTAAAAGTAGAAGAAAAGAAAATCATTAAAATTTATAATATCTTAAGGGTGATATTTCAAATACATAAATCCTATCGCATTAAAAAATACAATTAAAAGATTTAAAATATAAAGAACTAGAAGTATGCATCACTAACACTTAAATGACTTTATCAACTCTGCAACATAAATCCTATCATCTCTCTTTAGAATTATTATTTAGTTTGTTTCTAGAATCCATGTGGTTTCACCAGGACTACAAATTACTAATCCATGAGACAACCTATGGTTTCCAAAGGTTCCTGTTACTCTCCCTCTTCGGATCCATTTAGGTCCAAATTGCTTCCCATCCGAATATGTATTTGCACTCAATGTCTTCTTGATTCTAGGGTAGTGCCTCCCAGTTTTCCCTCACCCAATCTGATTTCTGCTTCCAAAATGGTAAGTGCGGTTAGGCCAATGAAATCAGTTCATAATGAAGATTTCTGTAACATTCATAGACATTATATATCCTCCACAAAAGCTCGCCATCCATTTGCAAACCTTAAAAACCCATTGGTTCATTAAGCACTCAGGCAAGTTGCTTAAGCTGGTCAGCATATATGACTGTTTGCCATTTAATGACTTTTAAAATATTTCAAGCATCCCAACAGGATTAGATTAAAAAAAAGTTGGTCTTATATCGTCTGAATTGTCCGGAATGAGAATGAGAGAGGGTGTAGGAGGAGAGAATCAGTTGTAGACACAAAGGGAGATAAAACCGAGAATAGAGGAGAATAATGCAAAATGCATATTGCAAGTGAACTATGAGCTGTGAAGAAGAGGAGAAGAAGAAATAAAAAACAGAGGAAAAAAAATCAGAAATCCAGGAGATTCCAAAGATGATATTGATCAACGATGACTGGATCTTTCCATGCATAAGGATTTTCTTCATTAATTTTTTCATTTTAATATATTCTTGTGCTCCTCCACATATAACAAGGCCATTGCATGTTGCAATCTCTCCTTTCAATCAAGATGCTCACCTAGTCAAACCCCATTTCCGGGGAGGCATCTCACTTTGCCTGAATGCCACAGGAGCCCAATCGGCAAAAGCTTTGTATCAATCAACAAATTGCATAATATGCCCATGCTTCTAGATATGAACCTTACTACAGGAGACCTAAACTGAACCTGTGTACTTGTTCAAAACAGTGTCATGTTGGGTTGCACTTGGATTGAACAATTAAGTTAACATAGCAAGGACATATAAGATGGGAATACAGTTGGTCTATTAACAAACATATTAGACAATAAACAACATGATGGTTGTCGCATTTGAACCCTGGTCACTGAAGCAACTGTGGACAGAACCAAGCCAAACATTTTTGTAGCATGTTAAATGTGGTGGACATATTGGTCAACTGTTACGATGAGAATCTATTTGTCATTTAGTCACATTCACATGTCATGATGAATTGTTCACCTTCAACGAATCTAAAAGAAGAGTTCTGCTCTCGGGAATTACTTTCAGCTCTGAAACATGATATAAGCCACATAGCCAACTGAAAGAACCAAAATGGTGAAGAAAATCTTATCTTTTCAAATAGTTGCTAACATGTAGAGAACATAATAATAACCAGTTAATCAGCATAGAAAACTACTACGACACAGGAAAACTCCTTGAGATTGAAGTTAAAAACTTTGCTGATATTAACCTCCATAATCGTGTATGTGCCCGTTGCAGTTTCCTCATTGATGGCATTTCTCCAACGTAGTGAACCATGACGACGACCATAAGCTAATAACAAGTGCTCCGATGTAGGTGCAAACTATAACAAAATTGGAATCAAGTAAGCACAGCTGAAATGATATTCATGAGAAGAAGTTGTTACATAACTAAATTTGATCTTCTGCAATTCATATACACATTCATTTATTTATATGCCATGTGGAAAGGTGCATACTTAATCTGCATGTTTCCACTGAATAAACAAATATAAATCAGATGAAAATGATACATTCAGTATCCTCAACAGTAAATAATATCATAAAGCTAAGAGTTGCAAGTTCCAGCAAAGCAGCAAGTCGTCGATGAACGTATAATTGGTTTGGAGAAAAATGGAGACATGATCATAGAGGAAAATTGAGCCATAGTTAATTAGAGTATGGAATCGCATGAAATTGGCAGAGACGACAACTTAATTTTTCTTGTAACATCTTCACTTATGCTTAACTATCAACCTTAGATTAAAACTTGAGAAAGAGAAAGGAATCTCAACTCGATCACTCAGTTACTAATATTCTGTGGTGCACTGTTATTACTTGACCATGTATTCCAATTACGCCAACCACTTGAGAGAGTTCGAATCGTTTAACCTTCTTTTCTTTAACTAGCTCTAACCATTTCCATGTCAGACTTAATCGTTCTATCACAAACCACACCTCTGAATTTCCAACTCTTAATTCGTCCATGCTACTAGTGCACCTGCAAATGTTCACCGGACTTTTTCAACACACCCGTCCTTCTTCAATTCAAAGAAACCTAAAATTTAGGATTTAATGGGACTGGTATCTTCTATCATTTTCTCCATCAATGAAGCTGGCATAAAATAGCTCTTTTACTGTTTATTAAAATCATTCACTTTTACTACACTGTTAACTGTGAGTTGTAGAACCCAGTGGCAAAAGGCTACAAGTGACCAATTCCTAATAATGGATCTAGTTACAGCATGGAATTAATTCGTAGTAATGGATCTAGCTACAGGCTTTTTACAACTTCGGCATGGATCTCTCTAATAAAGGTCTTAAAAGATGGAGCAGTATTAGGTAACCATTCTTTTTTCCTTTTTTCTTTGTCTTTGTTGAAAAAAAAAATGAGCATAACCTGTATAGAAGTCAAACAATGAGCAGCTCTAATAGCCCTTGAAGCCAGAATGGAACCAAAGCTGCAACCATCAAACAATAAAGTTCAGATACTGAACTACAAAAACAGCCACGAGAAAAGTGGTTGCAGTACATGAACAAAACAATTGAAAAGGAAAATAAAGGTGCAAGGAAAGGTGCAAGGATATAGAGGTCTCACGTTGCCTCCTCTAGGGAATAAATGCGAAGTTCATATATTACTTGGTGAGCTGAAAGAGGATGCTGTGTAGGGGATGTAGCAGCTCCTAAAGCATCAGGGTTCATCTGCGACTGTAATCCATGATCCCCTTCCAACTGAGGAAGAACACATGCAACACAAGCAGCTAAGAATCGCCCACATGGAGAGAAGTGTGCACCCATCTCACTGCCATAATCCTAAGGACATCAGAATCCAAAATAGAACTGGAAACTATAACTCCAACTAGACAAAATTTACGTAATATCAGAATAAATGGATATTATTTCATCACGCTAAGCAGAGAGTTCTGCTGAAGATAATTCTCAAACAAATGTTTAGCAGATTATATCGACATTGATATGCTACAACTAAATGCCTCTTGTCATTAAGTATAAAAACATTTTCCTATCTCACACTGATTATTCAACTTAAAAGATGCCCAACAGGCTTCTCATGTGTAAACAATTGATTGCATAGTTAAATATGACACTGAAATCCAGTACAATGTTTAATGGTGAAGACATCTCACGCTTCAATAAAGTCAATAGGTAACATACTATATGAATACGAGAACAACCCATGACAATGCCTACATCTAAGAACTTTGTGGTCACCGGAGATGAAGATGATATGCGCTAAACAAAACTTATTATTCAAATTACAAGTACACTATACTTAAGGACTCCCCTTTGATCATATGTACCTGCAGAGGACAGCATGTGGAATTGTCAAGAGACACCCCTCTGGATCAAGAGGGGCAGTTGGGACCTGTATATCATGCGCCCATATTCTCAACTTCACAGTACAAGGCATTTCCGTAGCAGCTGCATCAGACAGAAATTTGGAGATTTTAAGGAAATGCTACTAGAAAATATCTTCACGGCAATGTTTAAGTTGAGAATTTAAAGAGGAAGTACCTTCTCTGGGATCTGTCAAAAACATCAGCCGAGAGAGTGAGTGGTGTTGACAAGAATTTCGCCCATTGTCCCTTCGACGACTGGGAGTAGTCATTGCTGAAGAAGCTGATGCAGTTCCCACACTATGCCTAAGAGGTAGATCAGATGCTGCAAGTTCAGAGCCTGATCCAGAGGGTATCGATCCTTGGAAAGCACTATTAACAGGCAGCATTGCCTGCAGGCCAGCATGGGTTTGACCCATTACCCAGCCCTGCAGGAATGGAAGCTGCCAGGAATCTACATCATTGAATGGAATATACGGATGAAAGTTGCCATGACTAACACTCATCATAGGCGTACTGAATTCTCTGTTGCCGGTGAAGTTTGATAAATTTATCGCTGTAGTACTCCGAACACTTCGCCCATGTAGGCCATTAGATCTCTCTGCTGCCGTAGCAGTCCCTTGGTAAATAGATGGTTCGTCATTATGAGCTGCATCCATCCTCTCATTAACACGAGCAGAGGGGCTAAGCTGACTCCTGACTGTATGCTGCCAATTGATATTTTCCGTGTTTCCAGAACCAGAATAACCAGTTGCTACATCCACCCCATACAATAAAGGAAGATTTTCTGCTGGAAGATATGAACCATAAGGATCAAAACACACCTCCATAGGCATTGCGAGGCTATGATGATGGCTTCCCGTATTTGAATACGCTTGCTGTTGAGAAAACTCTGCTCGTTGATGCCAATTAACTGAACCAGTTGGCATGTCATACTGCTGCAGACGTTGCCTACTATCTCTTAGAAATGTGGGCTCAGAAATGTAAGGAGAGGGTGTAAAAGACAATCTAGTCTCGTCGTAAGTATTGGTACTCTGTTTCATGTTTCTATAGATAATGGCAGGTGGATAGTGGGGATAACCAGGAGTGGTTGCTAAGGTCAATTGATGATCTGGCGATTCAAGATCATTAACCTGCAAACCAAGAAGTAAATTCGACTTACTTACGCAGTGCAGTTGAGCAGTCATATTCAAATGCAAACCATAAATATTGACACCTCAGCTGTCAACAGTAAAGGGGCACCAAATGGGTGAAACTGAACTGCCCTCAGTGAGCGCCTTGTCTTCAGCACAGAGGTTGGGGAAGCTGACTCTCCACGCCTGTTATTGTAGTGCCACATGAAAAGCTGAGTACATTTCCAAGAAGAAAAAAAATCAAGACATGCACCATCATGAACCATAAACACTCATCAAACAAGCTTTTCAGGTCAGATGGCATACCCTATGACCCGATGCTACAGCAATAACTTCTCCTTGAGCATGAAAAGCAATTGAAGCAATAGGACGGTCTGCTCGTTGAAAGATAAGAAGAAAGCTTCTTACATTCTTGAATTAGCAAATAGGGAAGACACATGGTGTGGAAGTAAAATAAGAAGTAGAGTGTCAGAGAGGTACAAAAGTCATGTGATCCAATACAAGCAGCAGTATTTGCATTCCATAGCCGAACTTCATGATCCAAGCTTCCACTAGCAAGTACCTCTGAATGCAATGGATGAAACCTAACCTGTTGATAACCCTTTAGCTCATAAAAGAAAGCCCCAATACATGCAGATATGCAGAGCTATGTAGCACGGACACGGATCCGACACGGCCATCCGACACGCCGACACGAGGCAAATCCTAAAAAATACATAGGATACGTGTGTTCGACACGTGTGTCCGACACGGACACGACACGACACGGCTTCATGTTATGCGTGTCCGTGCTTCATAGATGCAGAGTGGCGCTAGGGTTCTACAACAGGGTTCCAACTCAAACCTTATGTCAAACAAGAATTTGACCTCTAGTCCCATCAGGCAATTAGATTAACAAATGATTACCAGTTTGGTTACCTTGAAGATTTCGTTATGTTTCAATCTGAACGCAAAAAGAATAAAAAGGGCATCGAGAAAGGTTTAAGTCTAAATTTGATCATAAACAACCTAATTTTCTCAAATGCCAAATCCAACCTCTATTTGGCTCAGACTGAGAAATCAGTTAAGTTGGGAGGAGTTCCTTTTCTTGGCCGCTTACATTGGTTTGATATCATCTGATCAATACTGATCTCTTCATCTGAAATAATACAAAATAATGCCTCTTTTTTCTTTGTGCGTGATCTAAAGCCTTAGAAAAAGAACATTTTTGTTTAACATACAAGTTTTGTTCCATGTTATCTCATCAAGATTTAATTTCAATAGTCATACTAGATCACAAGCACATGCATACAGCACGTGCAAAAAACCCAATTTACAAAAATTAACAATAGAAATGAAGAAACTTTTTTGTGAGTACCAAAGGAAATTATTGTTTAAAATTTTATATGGTTGCTAGTGGAAATTAATTCAATCAAAGGAATAAAGCTGTATTTAACAGATATGATTGAAATATACTTTTTGTTTTTTAAGATGAGAATAGCACAGAGATTTTAACTCTGTCTATAATCCACCTCGAACAATTTACCATTTGGCTTATAGCTTATGGGCACAAACTTCTTAAAATCTAGTTTAGAGTTGTCATTATTTAATTGTACCTTGATTTTATTAATTAAACTTTATATGGAATTCTATATATGTATAAGGTCCTTGCCTTTTTGGTGACATCATACCTATTATCTATTACTATTCTTTATGAAAAGATATTTTTTTGGTGTTCTACCCTTATGTTATTCACACGTTTCAAAAATTCCTTATAAATCCCAAAAGTCATACACACAACTTCTAATAATTTACAACTTAACGGAGGGACAAAGTTGGGGAAAAAACAATCTACTTCACAACTATCCGCACTATTTCCTTACTAACAAAACACCCGCTACTACTCATAACTATCCCCACAAATTACAGACCCCATCCGAATTTCTCCCCTCCCTCCCTCTCCCCCCCCCCATAAAATTTCTACCTTTAATAGTGCAAAGAGTTATTTATTGTTCTCAAATCTTGAAACCCCTGTTATTATTTAACTATTATCATGTGCCAACACGTAAACTGTTAGAAGTGATCTTTGTAGAACTAGGAAATATGTCAAGCATTGTACACGATGAGTTCTTCATTAAAGGCTCAAAGTTTGTTCATTGGAGTGAGCAATTTCGAAAACAGTAAGTAATTTAGTCGTCATGTGTGCCTTACACCACAAAAAACAAATACTATAATATTTATCAATATAGAGTACTACACAGGTGTGTATTGGATCTCAAAGATGTGCAACAAGATCACTAGGTATGCAATAAGCAGCAATCTTTAGTTTTAAGATATTTCTTTTATTACAAAAAAAAATTCTTCCC